TCTATCCCGAATTTCATACCGATAGCATGCGTGTACTCTTCCACCACCCTCAAGGACTGATGGAGATCCTTCTCTCCAGAGGCATAAAGTTTAAGATCATCCATATAAAACAAATGGGTGACCTTGTGCCTCCGGTTTCCGGGAGTGCCACAGTTATACCCTCGAGTCTTTCTGAGCGCAACGGATAATGGCAATAGTGAGATGCAGAATAGAAGGGGGCTGAGGGAATCACCCTGAAATACACCCCTTCTGAAAGTGACCCACCTTGTTTGAACTCTTGCTTGACCAGATGTTATGGTGAAGCGAGTTCGCCAAAGTGGTATCAGTTGTTCAATGCATCTCACTATGTTGTCGGGTACCGCAAGGCATCTGAGCAAATGCAAGATGAGATTATTATTATTCTGAATGTTCATCTAAAAATTATCGTGCTGATGTGTGTCTATACAGAAAAACAGATCGCTGAAATTGTCATTTATTTATGTAAAATGTTGACTAGGTATGAATTTTGTATTTTCAGGTTCCCATTTCATATCAAGCTACCAACTCTGGAACAGTAAGTAGCACCACCTCAACAGTTATAGCTTCGGGAGTTCCAGGCCCCAGACAAGTGTTGGTACCTGTTTCTGTTCCCATTTCGCTTCCCCTTCAGCATCAGCAGAATATAATATATAATACGCCGGACTCCAATACTCAGTCGAATTGAATGTAGTCGTTTTTCGATGTTGATAAGTGTACAGTGTAGTGATGATAAATGAATATTCAATTTGAACGCTTCCAATGGAGTTACCCACAATTTTTTACATAATAGTAGGAAAACGTTTGTAATTAGCATATCTTCAATGATACGATTATTTATGGAAGTTATATACGAGGTTGGTGCTAGAAGTACGCGGACCAACAAAAAAAAACACAAAAATTTTGGAAAAAAAATTATTCATTTTTTAACATAGTCTTCTGGCAGCTCTATACACATTTCCCAGCGACGTTCAATACTTACGATGCTGTTTTTATGATAAGAACTGACTTGCTCATCAAAATAGCCATTAACTGCCATCACTTCTTCACCGTTCGAAAATATTTGACCACTGAGCCATTTCTTCAAGTTTGGGAACAGAAAATAATCCGATAGGACTAAAGCTGACGAATAGGGTGCATCAGGTAGCAATTCAAACTTTAATTCGTGGATTATGGTCATTGCAATTATTTATTTGTGAGCTGGTGCACTGTCTTGATGAAACAACAGTTCTTTCTTGGCCAAATGCGGCAGTGTTTGGTTAATTTCTTCACTCAAACGTTGCAATAAGTTTGTATGATACTCGCCGATGATAGTTTCAAATTTTTTAAGATAGTCAATGAAAATTATTCCACGCGCATCCTAAAAAACCGATGCCATGAGCTTGCCTGCAGATGAATTGGTCCTCGCCTTCTTTGAGGCCTGTTATCACTTTTGAGTCCACTTTGATAGACCCATTTTTCATCCATGGTTCTGTATATGTAGAGTAGGGAGGGTGAATGAAACCCCACAGCTCTTAGGCCACATGTGACCCATTGTACATCATCCCAAGGAGTTGTCCTCCTAGGTCATCGTTCATCTTGTCCTTTCCAGGAAGGTGGACAGGTCTCTGGGAGACATATCCTTTATATCGACAGGTGTAGGCCAATACTCGCCGAACACACTCTCTCATTGACGATAACTCCGGACAGGTCTCTGGGAGACATATCCTTTATATCGGCAGGTGTAGGCCAAGACTCTCCTGGCAGAAAATGTTTCATTAAGTAACAAACTATCAACATTTCATTCCATTATAAATTTGCATGCACTATATTAAATACTTTTTCTACACCCGTACTCTAACAATACACTTAT